GGTCAGTCCCATGAAATGTGGCCATTCTCAATGTTTAATTTGTACCCACTTGCACAGCGCCCTCTTCATATCCATGTTCAATGTCCTGCTTGAGCAACATGTACATGTATTCACTTCTTTTATTTTATCTACAGCAATAGGCCTATGCATGAACATAATGATTGTTGTCTCACTCCTTTCGTTTCCAATTTTAAGGTTAACACCAATGTTTTCAGTCCGTTTGAATTATACTTACAACTAATTGTCCGTTGAATCTAGAAAAGACGACAGGTTATAGTTATTATTCATCGTTTTCCTTTCTCGGCATCCATGTGACTCTTTTGGTTGGCTCCGCTATTCACTTTTTTCTTGATTTTGTTTATGCTGAATAGATAATTATTGTAATAATAATAATATTAATCACCATCATCATCATCATCATCATCACCTTTGTCATCTGCAATTTCTTTCTACTATATAAGGACTACATTTGTTCAATCCTATTTTGATAAATGAAGCATTCGGAATTTCCCCTTCCATTTACATTTACATACGTATACAAAAATATACAAAACAAACACTCTTTGAAAATAAAAGAATAAGACTATGATAACCTTAATAATCGTCAGATTTTATTGTACTGTTCATAAACATGGAAAGTTCCCATTCTGTCATAATATGTCATCATAATAATTATGTAACCAAATCTTGGCACAACACATATTCTTTACTATGATTGTGAAAGACATTGCCCAGGATAGATGCGAGCAACCCTTGAGACTTGAAAGCATTTAAAAGAAATATAGGGCAGTTGCATTCATGACCCCTCCCAGCATACAATTGAAGGGAACATACTATCACAGTATCATATTCGAATATGATAACTGTACAAAGAATCATATACACTCATAATAAAAAGGAAATGAGACATTAAACAGAAGTATCATTCAAACTCAAAACATAATATCTTACAGTATGAGTCAATAAATTCACGAGAACACTTATACAGTTATCTCATTAGCAATACTTGGTAAATATAATGAAAGAAATAATTATATGCAAATCGGAAGAGGTTTATTATGTAATACAAAAATGAATGCTAGAAATCAAATCCTCCATCAATTTTACATATCGTCACATTAATAATTACCATCACATTTTTTCTTTTATATGAATGCAGTGTATATTAATTTCGATTTAATACGATTCAATTTGATTCAATGTGGTTCCATTTGTATTTTTCCAAGGTAAAACCATTGAAATGTTACATGGGATCTTTTTTGCAAGGAATAGAAAATACATATGTAAACACAAAAACAGTAATAATCGGAATACATAAGTGATAAATATATACACAGTCGTTGACATCTTAGACATTAAAACGTAAACTAACCTATAGCATGAGCACTAAGAAAGAATAAAAGGGGAAAAGGTATGAAAGGGGAAGAATGACAGTAGATCAAGGTTAGGAGAGAAGGAAATGAGTCAGAGGAAGGAGAACAATATAGAGAGAAAGGAAAAGAGCCGATGCAGGGTAAAGAACAGAGAAGTAGGGACGGTTGTAAGAAGAAGGAGAGAATATCATGAAATGATAAAGGTATTTAAGAAGAAGATAATGAACTCCCATTTTAAAATTAGTTAACACATTCGTATATTGACATGGAAGTGTAACAGAAGACAATTACGAAAAAGATAATATAATAAGAAAGAACCGGGAAATTAGAAGGGAAAGAAGGTGAAACTGACATAGTAAGTGCTGACATATTAACTTCATGAAAAGTTTTTTTTTTTTTTTTTAATATAATATATGTAGACAGGGTATGTGATGGTTTTCGAAATGGTTGATATTCGCATATTCCATTCAAACAAAAGCTAAACTGCAATAGAAGATGGAATATCAGTTTTCGCATTAGATTACAATGTCAGCTGTAAGTACAAGACTTAATTCATACGGGCAATTTAATATTGCAATTGTACATATCTATACAATTATTATCGTTATTCAATGTGAGCTGTTACACGCACTCATGGAAAAGGGAATGAAGGATTTCAGATAGCGGTATGTTCTACACTTTGCAGACTTGAGTCGTTTACCTGATCGCATCCAACAACATTCAAGTTAGTCTACCTTATAAAGAAAAGAAATCCAGTAACAACATACAACAGAGTAGTGAGCAAAATTGTTTTAAACTAAAATAATCAGGAATGCAAACAAGAACTTGTAGAGATTACATGTAGGCATACCACAACAATCGATTTAAGATCGATGGGGATAATGAATAAGACATGACCTACAGTCAGTGGGATACAGGGGTAAATCCCATGAGCTACAGAGCATAACACGAGTCGGCGCGACGACTGTTCACGTGAATGTACATAGTATGCTATTCCAATCACATTAACTATTACATCCTCACCGGGTACCTATTTTAAAACACCTGGGTGGGGAGGAGTAATGTAGATTAAATGCCTTGCTCATTGATATGAGTGTCGTACAGGGCCTCGAACACAAGATGTTTATACATTTCCAGTCAAGTGATGAAACCACTCGACTACGACACCTCTATGATAATGATGGAAAAAGAAGCAAGGAAATTCCGTAAATTAAAAAAGAACGTTAATTGCGCTGGTTCATGATTGATAAAACTCGACAATGAGGAGAGAGAAAGAGAGACAGCTATAGAGAAGGGGGTTATATAGGCCTATATATCTGAATTAGAGACTGGAGTAACAATAATTGAATTAAACATTTGTATAATTAATTTTATTTCAATGATGTGGACAAACGTCTGACTACTTCTAAGTTCAAAATCATATAATTATTGGATCAGTAGGGGTTTCATTAAACAACATAACAATAAGGAAATATTTATACAGTAGGCTTGCGGGTGCACCATGTGAGAGAGAGAGAGAGAGGGTTGAGAGAGAGAAGGAAATATTTATACAGCGCATTATACTGCCGGTTAAATCCCTTTGCGCTGTACATGGTAATGCAGAATATTATTGGATTCTGAAAACTAATGTCAACAACAAATATAGCCATGCTCATTGAAATACACCTAACTACATATACATTGGAACATATATACGCAATAAACGAAAAGATAGATACATACAGTAAACAAATTTAAGGCACATTATATTATTTACGTTCAAATTGTCATGCAAACATTCTTGTCACTTTATATCACAATACATAAATGAGGATGAATAAAATTCATCACGTTTAAATTCAAGATAATGGTTTCTAATATATATATATATATAGTTAGTTAGTCATGCGTGCAACAAAATAGAACTAAATTGTAAATAAACGACGTACGCCATTCTTTATAATCTAATCAATATATACAAAATACTCAATTTCAGTAAACAATATTTGGCGCTAGTTAACAATATTTTGCTGATACCCAACGGAATAGATCATGCTAATTAATACAAATACTTATAGTAACACCGCCGCAACAACCACATCATCAACAATACCACAACAATAACAACAAAAGCAACGACTGCTACTACTATTACTAGTGATATCAGTGCGCTATACAATAAACAATTAGTTACATAAATACAGAAATATATCAAAAATATTAAGCTGAATGCCACATGATTTACTCTTAATAATGTTCTTGCATTACATGTAATAGTGTACAATCACTAGATGAACTTGTAGAAAAACAGCTAATTGGATATTTAAGATTATTATGCATTTATACAGCCTTAATTTATAGTTAGTCAGTAATTTATAACTTGCGTTGCAAAGACCCTCCTCTGTATGGGCACATACAATTTGGCTACGTTATTTACAAATTATCAACAGACAAAATTACCAACTCAAATATATCAGACAAGATTTTTTTTCCCTTTCAAAATAAAAATCATAAATCATAAGAACCTTTAATATGATACATGCAACAGTTCATACACAAGATATATTGGATAGAACAACTATACAGTATTTTATTTGTGAAATAAAAAGTGGTCTTCATTTGGCCTTTTTGGAAGGTCGATACAGGCCTTAATATACGAATAAATACATTCCTTCATTTCCTATCTGTGGATACAACTTCGAACGGTTTTGCCTATAACTCTTTCGCTTGTAGGAAATCACATGCTTACATCGTCAATATAAGCATATCAATAATAAAATCGTTTCTATGTTTACATTGAGAAAATCAATCTATATTTTTGGTTTAAGTAGTCATGCACACAGAAAATAAGCCTGCAAGTTAGCAAGTTTCATGACCTTGTTCGATAGTGTGTTTTTGATATAGATGATGGGGTATTAATAAATTATGATTACGTGGCTCAGAAAAGGGTAAAATAGAAACGGTCATCATTTTTGTTTTTACTTTTTGTTGGTTCGTTTATATGTTGGTTCGTTTATACTTTTTGTTCTCTGTATATATATTCATGTTATTTTTTATTTTTGCATTACCGTTTGCATATTCTGTATTTATATATTTTATTTTATTTTAACAAATTAATCTCACTTGTTCATGTTTGCCGTGTTTATAGTCTCTCATTTATAGCATCCATTTTGGTTCTGAGAAGTAATAGATGACTAATAGATAAATCATAAAAGACAATTGATTTTAATGGCACAGAAATCATTTTGACAATGCCTGTTGCACACGAGGTTGCGTTTAGATTGCTTTATTTCCTTGCTTTAACCTAGCTAGGTGATTCAGTTAGGATATAACACTCTTAATTCGAAGGGAGGTTTGCACTGTTTGATTTGCACTCACTTTTCGGTACGATATTACTCTCTTATGTTTCGTCAATGCCTCCGCCAATCGCTGACGCGGGAGGTTGTGGGTTCGAACCCCGGCCGCGTCATACCAAAAGACGTTAACAGACGGGAGTTGCTGCTACCTTGTTTGGCGTATAACAATAAGGGATAGAGCAACGTCGATCTGGCGCTGCTTAGTGGCTGCCGGGCTCACGATCAATTGGGCAAAAAGAATTTCCATTTTCGGTTTAACTTAATAAAATTTGGAGTGGACTTTAAAAGATAATTATTATTATTATTGTTATTATTATATACTCTAGGAACATACAATATCGTGTACATTCTCTACATAGCAAATGTGGTGTGTAAAGCACTGCTAGTTGCACAATTCAAATTCGAATAGAATTATTACTTATTTACTTTTCTAATAATGAATATTTTTCCATCGTACATTTAATAAAATTTCAATCATGATATTTTACAACATTTTGGCCCTTTCACAAGGTTTGAGATTTTCAGCGTGTAAATCCACTTAACACCCTTTAAAGTATATTAAATGCAAGAACAGTAAGAGTAACATTATGAAGGGAATTCAAAATCACAATCACAAGAGCTGCAATACCGATGTAAAGCATACACATCCGTATAAATCATATGAATGTCAACGTGATTCAGTGGATGAATACTGAAATCGATTGCATGACAATGGTAAAAGAAAAGGGATGATGATTGAGGCACTTTTCATTTCAGCCCATATTTCCTGTTTGTGTGCAAAGATTGTCTGCTCCGTCTGATTCGTCAGATCGAGTGTGGTGCCATCTCTACGATTAATCAAATAAAAGACTATAGTGATGGGGATAGAGAGAGAGCGAGAGAGAGAGAGAGAGAGAGGGGGGGGGGGAGAGAGAGAGAGAGAGAGGGAGAGAGAGAGAGAGAGAGAGATAGAAACAGAGAGAAGTGTAAATGTGTGCATCAACATACAAACAGCGCTACATTAAAAAATAATCACATAGAGCAGTAAACGGAGGGCAAAGAAGAGAGATTGAATATCACACAGCTTTACGTCAAACAGAACCATCTTTACAAATTTAATTTGAATTTAATTGAACTTATTTTCTTTTACAACATGAAAACGGGCACAATCTGTTAATCAGTTAATGAATACGTAGAAAACGTGTTGATACAAACATGCGCGAATAATGTAAAGAAATAAGCCAACATGTAATATAAAAAATAGTATAAATAACTTTAGTTTATCACTTCGCTAATCCAGTAACCTAAGCCTATTATGCAATAGGCACCCTTGGACATTCATGATTACACATTTCCAAAGGAATATTAATTTACATGCACGCCATTTGTCAACTCTTTGATACATTTTGCACCAATTGATGTGAGACTATAGTCGTTATTTTACCACCAAAAGCCATTTTCAAACCTTTTCTTTTTGAGGTAAGTCTTTAATAAGTATAGTTTTTTAAATGCTGTTGAAATTCAACCTTTTCATTTGTTTGACCTACAAATGGGACATGTAGAACCTTAAAGAGCATTGCAAGCCTGGAAGTAAGAGTTTGAAGGACTTACCGACGCGGTTTTCCATGCTCCACCTCCACCTCCATGACCTGATCTTTATTGCAAGCAATTATGACATCATCCACGGCCTCATCTGACCCGCATCGTATGAATCTACCAGTATCAAAATAGACGCAATACAGCATTTCTCCTTTCGTGCTCCTCGTGGTTTTTCGTATTGTTTTAATTTGATTCTACAAGATGGAAATGCTCATCAACAATTTAAAAGACCAAATGCCCCAATTTACGATTTCTCTCGTGATAGACTATTGTTAAACGACTATTCTCACTCATGGGCGAATGGTATGAAACCAATTGCAAATCATCTGAAAAAGGAATTTATGTTTATTTTGAGATATGAAAGATAAGTACTATTTAATCATTTAATATGAAAATTCTTAATATAAACAGTGTACACTTTTTTCGGAGGGGGGGGGGGGACTGAGTGTATTATGGATAGGAAAAGGGATTGGAGAGAGAACGAGAGAGAGAAAGAGGGAGAGAAAGAGAGAGGGAGAGAGAGAGAGAGAGAGAGAGAGAGAGAAGGGGGGGGGTAAAAGAAATGAAACATATCAAAGTACTCTTTTAACAAATGATATTGTCTCACCTGATAATCTTCAGATGTTTGAGGTTGTGTGGTGAACTGAAAGCTTGTAAAATCAGTTCCATCTTACTGTTGCCAATGCCAAGATCCCTGAATGTCACCTTGACAAGCTGAGGGGAGATATTCAGAAGGGCATTGAGTATTGAAGTGGGCTCCTCGTGGAAACCAGCCGGTCGACGACCATACTCATGTGTTTGAATGGTGAGTTCTGTTGCTCCTGGTAGATGGATCCTCTGGATGACGTCACAGTTGATCGTTCTCTCTGCCTCTATAGTGACCCTTTTCACACTATCAAACATCGAACCACAATCCTGCCATACTTCTAGTGTGCTAGTATCCACTGTCAGCTCAGTCAGGTTGGGGCTCGTGGTACAACTCTGGTCGTGATCATGTACATACAAAAAAGGCAATCAAAGTGCACTAGCAAATGTAGTAGGTTCGATTGTTGGTAAATATATAATGTTTCATGAAAAAAGCAACACAAATTGTGAAAATGGATTATGCTAGCCTCATGGGTATTGTAGAATATAAACAAGGATTTGTAAAAGACATAGGCCGAGCAAATGCGAGAAATCTTTTGCAAAGGCAAGTACAAGTATAAGCATGATAATCAAAGTCTTCAAAACAAATCTGTTTGGCTTTCATGCAATACAATTGTACATGTATATCATTCATTATTTCCTAATAGAGGTATGTTAAAGGTGAGTACAGTTTATAGATTCAATGAAACGGAAACCAGCCTAATTCAGCCATACGTTAGGATAAACATTAACTAAATAATTTCAAATCAGTCAAATGCAAGTATTCCGTACATCGTATATACAATAATCAAATAAAATGTAACTAGAACACATGTATCAGAATTTGAAATAGTAATATTGAAAAGGATTTTTTTTTAAATTAAAAATTAAAAATGTATATCGCGATTAGAACATTTAAACCTTTATCGCTGTATATAGCGTTAATTAATCACATTACTTGAAGTGTGATGCACAGTGGGCCGTTTAAAAATGTCCGATGCCAAATTTTACTGCAGGATTAACAGATATTTAATATGAAACATGTCTACAAGTACAAATATACCACCATATAGTTGAGCGTTTGAAGTAATGTTTCGTCCCAACAGATTCTTATTTGTAGGTGTTATAATGCATAGGCATATCGTGAGAAAGGCGGGCGAAGTAACCGTGTCCCCCATTGAAGAAAAATATAGGCGAAACAAGACATTGTATGGGTATAAAACCTTTTTTTTGCTCCTTGCCATTATGGTCATGTCGAAATGATGATGCATGTTTTACATGATTTGTATGAAATAACAATTCATTTAAACACCCAAATGCATTATAACACCTGAGAATAAGAATATAGTTATATATATTAACGCAATTTGTACTGCCCTTTCTTTCAACAATGATATAGATACATGTTATTCCTTTCCTTTTTCAAGTGTCACATTTGTTTTTTGTTATGTTTTTTTTTTTTATTAGAATCCCTTTGGAAAACATTTCGCTTTAGTTGAATGTTCCACTACGTTAACATCCGTAAATGACTAAACGATTGAAAATTGTAATGAATATCAATAAACAGATAAAGCTAACAAATAAAGATGATTATTTGTAGGGCTTGGTAATGCAGTGGCAAATCAGATGGTGACAATCAACAACAACAAAAGGGGGAGGGGGTCATTACATTTCTCAGATGCCCTCGTATTCTTTAAAGCCTCTCTTCATAATGAATTATGTATTATACTTGTTCTGTTTTTTTCCTTCTTAATCGTTTGATTGAAATGTCGTAGTTTTACAATGTTTTTAATTTCCCATTGACTCTTTTTTTTTTTTTACACATTGTTTGAATTGAGGTTGGAATATGGAAATAAATGATTTAAATTGAATTGAAAGTGTTGGGAGCCACAAATTCGACAAAAATGTGATGGCAAAATTTCACTTAAATCATATCATAATGTGAAAAAGGACTTCTGCAAAGATCCCCCCCCCCCCAACAAAAAAAAGAAAAATGTATTTGAAGATAAAAATGATCAAATAATAACATAATTGGGGTTTTCTGTTGTGCTGTTGTATTCTTTTATCAATATTTATGACATCCTCTTTTACATTATGATACAATTTAAGTGAAATCTTTCCATCAAATTGTTGGGGCCCAACAATTCAGAGGGGCTTCAATTATCTGACCAGCAACCAAAAGTACGTCTTTCCTTCGTAATTTCATAGGTCTATTTACTTTGAGTTTATTTCTTTGTAAGCGCTATGGAGTTTTGTATTTATCTTTTCTAAATATTCGATACATAGTAAGAAGAGAAAAAGCAAAGGTTTATGACATTTAAGTGCCGTTGTGGGTGGGGAGGGGGGGGGGGGGGTAAATTGCATAATTAAGGACCCATTCTTATTTTGTATAATTATGCCAGATAGTGTTTTGCCGAAGGAGGGGGGGGGGGAGGGGGGCGTTTGTCCCTATTCTCGATCCACCATTATTCACCCCGTGGAGTGATCACGTGGGGCCAGAGGATATCATTGCTGACACACAGCGCCTTGTAAACCCTGGAAAAGGAGCTGTTTGAATTCGATTATTATTATTATTACTATTATTATTATTATTAATATTTTAATTATTATCAATTATCCTCTGAGAAACACTTCTCCAATGAAAAGGGTCTCAATCTGTCGTGCAAACTTATTACAGGCTCTTGGTGTATATTTTTATATGGATTATCACCAGTTTAACCTGGCTGCATTGATACAATGTTATGCGTAATGTTGACATTTCAACAGCCCCTCCTAGATATAGTTTTGAAAGAACTAATTAAAGTGATCAATTCTTGTTCATCATAGAAGCCGCCCATTGCCATTTTTTAATATATTTGGATGAAGTATAGCTGTGAAAAATATTGTTTTTACTATCAATCTTTAATATTACGTTTGTCTGTTTTTGTATTTGACAGAAAGTTTACTTTTCGCATCAACTTCCCGAAACTTTCAGCTTTTCCTACCTGCTTCCTCTTAACGGTGTATACTTTGAACAGTAAAATCGTACAATTTCGTTTGACGATATAGGAAAGAGTGCACCTCTAGTAAAACAAAACATGTATTGATTTGCTAAGAGTCCCCAAAAATGTGATCAAATCAATACCTTTGCAGATGATGCCATCGATGACGATGTTGAGTAGAAGTCATCGTGAAACTGACTGCCGAGTGACAGCTTCTCCAGATGAGTCATCTTACAGACGAACTGAGCGAGATCACGTGATGCAGAGGGACGTTCATTGAGACTCAAATAGTTGAGCTCAAGAGTCTCAATCTGTTTTGATAGCAACATTTTGTTGAATGAATGTTAATAAAAACCAAATAAAACTATATTAAAAAATCAACAGTATGTTTGATATATATTAATATCGTTGCCACATTAAAAAAAAAAGTCTTAACACAATGGCATTTATTGTGTTTAATGATGTTTAAATCTTGACATCTGAAATGATTACTGATTGCAATAGTTCCTGAATTCCTTTGCGACCGATATACATTGCATCATGTTACAGTAGCCTTCCTCATTCATTTTGAACAAGCTCTACGTTATTCTGACATTTGATTTAAATAGCACTTTTAAAAATGAATTTTACATAATAAGAAATTTTATCGAACGAAGGGCGATATAAATGGTTTACATTCATCAGTGACATCACGAGTTCGCGGCGGCTTCTCTTCTGTGATGACCCTTAGCGGCATCTTGATAGAAAACAATAACATGCCGACACCCTTTGAGTCAGCCGCGCGGCTTCTTTCATGTACGCGTATCTATAAAAGGAATGTGCGCAATGTATGTTTCGAATTTATATATGGAATTATTTTAGCCGGGATATATTGGTTCTCACGGTGTTGGCGTGAGAATCCTCATTCACCTTGCAGATTTTTTAGAGGATGGTCATAGACATTATTCGGTGGCAAATTAATTTATTGGACTTTATTGAGGAAACATTGTAGTCGGCAACTATTATACTTCGATTCCACATCGGATTTACAGAAGGGAACATTTTAATACAACTTGGTTCTTCAGAGTAATTATATACGGCGACGGGATTTTGAATTGTGTACATTTGGAGTTCATAACTGGTTAACTTTATATTAGCTACATAACTTTGTTAATTGTATCATCGCGTCGGGAATTATAATGCCGAAGGCTAAGCAGCAATCCAGGTGGACAACTGTTGACCGAACTGGGTCCTCACGTCCACGGAGAACTGCAACTGCAACAGCTCCGCCTTCCCAGCCCGTATCAGAGCCTCTCGTCCAGGCACCGCAGCCGAACCCCGGAGTGGAGCAGCGGGGACCTGGTCCATCCGCAAGTGAGTACGATTCTAGGCCGTTGGTTTGCGCGGGTATTGATACATTAAACTCAATTGGAGGCCCTGAGCAGGCGCAGCAGGTGGGGCTTATGATCAATGCCCCTCCCTTGTTGGCAACTCCTCGGGAGGTGCTGGGGTCAGCTGTTCCTCGCGCATTGCGGGATAGAATCTGGAAAGGCGAGTTTGTTGATTTAGGGGCCTTGCTAAAAAATGTCCCCGTTCCAGACGGCAGCGCACCCACGGTTATTGCCCTGTCGGGGTCGACATTGCAGGTACAACCGCAGCGAGGGGTGCCGCGAATAACCTCAATAGAGCAATGGACCAGCGCATTTTTGGTATTTGCGTCTATATACACCGAGAAGCATATAGTTCGGGCCTTAGAGATGTTTAAGTATATGGACACCGTCCGGACGGCGGCTAGATTTGGCGGCTACGGCTGGCGCACATACGATGCGCAGTTTAGGCTGAGGCAAGCAAGAGAACCCACTAGATCATGGGCTGTCATTGATAGTGAATTGTGGCTTATGACTGCCACAGCACCATGCACGCATTCAACCCCCGCCTACTACGGTGATGCAATTCGTGAAAGCGACCCCTTCGGCCAGACAAATTAATAGTGTTTGTCCTTTTTGGATCTGCCAGTAGCACGATTTACTCACATTCTTTCAGAAAAGGCGCGGCCACATTAGCCGCTATGACCGGTTTGACGCAGGGGAAATTGAGAACACGGGGCGCTGGTCCTCGGACGCGCATAAGAGATATGTTCGTATTAGTATGCTACCTGTTGCATAATTCATGATGTATTGTACCATATTACTTCTTTAATCATTTGAGTTTAAGGAAGCGTGTTAAGAAAAATTATCAGTTATTTGGGTTGATCTATATGTTTAAATAGTATTTATAATTGACTCATGTTTATGCATGAGGCAGTTGAAGATCAATATTGTTACATTTCATTGGTGATTTTGAAACGAGTTATCAACAACAATGAGCTGCCGGAAGTTTTCCTTTTTTCTTTTCATTCCTGCTGTAGGTTGCCAGTCTCGTACAATCCTGCTCATAGGCGATTCCATGATCCACTGGTTAGCCGCCTTCGCGCATCGTAAGGGAAAACAAGGTTTGGGGTCGGCAGCCAACGTCGTTTGGAGAGGAAGGAGGGGCCTTAAGCTAGGTCAACTAAGTGGACATGTCCAATGGGTGTTGCCCGGTTCCTCTCCGTCGCACATCGTTCTGCACGTGGGGACGAACGACGTCGGGCAAGCTAAAAAAGACGAATTGTTCTTGCTTTTGGATACAACACTCGGACAATAGGCCTGTTTACTAATGATATGCGAGTGACGTCATAATCCCTCGCACCCTAGCGATTGTTACTACGTAGGGCAAGCTTTGCGTGGTGCGGCACGGTCGCCACATTGTTTTTCCATGCCCGCTACGCTATACACATACAAAGCCATTGCTAGCGACCGCGACGTTTTTTCACCCTAATTTCTACAATGGCATCGCCTTCGACATCGAGTTGTAGTTCCAGCAAGCCGTTTTCGCAGTGGACAGTGAAGGAGCTCACCGATTATTTAAGAAAGAGAGGAGTTACGACATCAGGGTACAACAAACAGAAACTAGTTCAACTTGCGACTGCTGTGGCCGATATCGCTTTGCCCCAAGACCCGGACCTTGCGAGCTTCGACTCCGCACGGTCGCTGCGGGAGAAGTTGGAGCGTGCGGGGTGCTCGTTCGACGACCCAATGAAAATCACCGGCTACACCGAGAACTTTGAAAGTATACCAGATTTCGGATTATACGACATTTTCAACTACCTGATAGTAAATAGAACTGACTACGACAGAAAGAAACTCAAAGCATATAATATGTCGATTCCAAAGTCCTTTCTTCCACAATTCTTAATCCATATTTTACACTTCTCCAGGTTCGTCTTTGGTTTGGGGAACGGGATGAAAAACACACCATTCATATGGGGTCTGTCTGCGTACCGTGAATCGCTGTTACACGTGCCGTAACAGCAATGCTTACCTCCCATTTTTGCGATATTTCGTCGGATTTCGGAAAATAAAATCGAAGATTTGTCATGTACAACTGAGAAAAACTATATTTATTTTGATTATATACCCTAAGGTTGGAAAACAAACAGTTTTAAACGAAGTTTATTAGGACGATGATCAGCCTTTTTTTCCTCGCATTCCCCACATCGCCGTATACAAAGTGTGTGTAGCAGGGCCGTAGCAGACACTGCGCTCGGTTTGTTTGCCAGAGCTTACAACCGTGTGCAAATTTAAAGGTCCGTGAATACATTAGTAAACAGGCCTATTGCACGAACATTTCCCCAATGCCCGCATCATTTGGTCGGATATTTTGCCTCGCAGGACCTACAGCGGCTTCAGTAAAGACGAGCAGCCCAAAATTGATCGGACGCGGCGAGCTCTAAACAAGCACGCCAGGCGCATATGCCGCACGATCGGGGGCAGTGCTTTGACTCACCTGGGCATCAGGCACGAGCGGCGCGAGCTGTTTAGGAATGATGGTATTCATCTCTCCGAGACCGGAAATAATATGTTTCTTCATAGCCTTATTAAGGGGTTGGAAAACATGGCATAGATTTTCGTGGAGTTTTTTGTTATTCAAGTCATAATGAAACGTAGTAATCACGTTTGTTTCGGGTAATTGGTCTATTTTTATTTAGCTCAAGCTTTGTAATTACAAAACTCGTACGTTATAGCAAAAGAGACTTATCAGGCTAGTGGTTTTTATTAAGATGTTAAGTTGATTTATTTAACGTATAGATATATATATATATACAGTATATGTTTCCCCATTTTGATGTTTAAAGGTAGTTATTAGGTTTCGGGTAATTGGTTTATTTAGCTCGAGCTTTAAAAGCATAAAACTTTTATGTAACGCGAAAGAGACTTATTAGGCTAATGGTTACGATTAACATGTTAAGTTTATTACATATATATACCCGGATTTTGATGCTGTGTATTTCAGTTAATGAAAATTACAAAGCTTTCTCATGAGCTTGGTCACAGTTGGGACCATGAACGCGTTTTTCATTGAAGACTGCTTTTGGTTTTAAATGAAAGGTAGTTATCTCGTTATTTTGATTAATTGGTTGATTTAGCTTAAGCTTTGAAATTTCAAAACGTGGGTATTGAACAGATATGGTAATTGGTTGAATGCATTATGTTCAAGTTCAAGTTCGCGTACTTTGTACATATATATATATATAGCCGTTTTGTGGCTTTGTTTTATTTACCGATTATTGCAGAGTGTTTTCATGAGCTTAGTCACAGTCGTGGCCATAAATGTGCTTTTAACTTATAGTTTTTGGTTGGAAACGAAAGGTACATGTAGTTATCACGTTATTTTGGCTAATTGGTTGGATTCAATATGTTCACGTTCAAGTTTGTGTACTTAGTTCATATATATATATAGCCGTTCGTGGCTTTGTTTTACTATACTTACTGTTATTGCGGAGTGCTTTCATGAGCATAGTCACAGTCGAGGTCATTAAGGTGTTTAATTTATTGTTTTTGGTTGAAAACGAAAGGTGGTTATCACGTTATTTTGGTTAGTTGGTTGATTTAGCTCAAGCTTCGAAATCGCACAACGTTGGTATTGAAATGAAATTAAGGTAATTGGTTGAATTCAATAGGTTCAAGTTCGTGTTCGCGTTTAAAACGCGTAGTGAAACGAAAGTAACCCATTAGAATTTAGGGTGAAATTACTATGTCAGTTTATATGCGTACATTACGCGATAAAAATATATACGCTCAGTGGCGGCGGGCGGTGCCCGTGTGGCGGAAATTGGCATTTTTGCCTCTTCGCATATATATATGTGTATGTGTATATATGTTAATATATACATATAAAGGTTATTATGTGTATTACACACTGCTGCAGAATACCCCATGGGAAGGTTGCGTTTTGGAGAATATGATTTGGATTATTTTAATTGGCCATTGTATCTTGCAGAGCTCAATATTTATTGGTTTCCGGTAAGGGCCCCGATGATAACAGGTATCCTGTTTATTTATAACATGTACCCGCCTGTAAAGTAGGCATCTTTTCGCCTGTTTAATGCAGTGGAACCGTGTGTCTTCTTTGTATGCAGAGGGGTGTTATACGTATAGCCCACTTTGTGGTACTCACAGTTAAATTCCATATGAGAAGGTAAACTCTGTTCGCCCTCTTTAATGAGGAAACAGTGTCGCCTTTTTACGGGCTGTGGGGGGTTGTACACAAGTTCTCGTCTGTTGACGGCCCTGATGCAGAGAGTACTTTGGATTGGACATGCCGGCTCCATCCAGTTTTTCAGAGCTCAATATTTATTGTTTTCCGGTAAGGGCCCCGATGATAACAGGTATCCTGTTTATTTATTTATAACATGTACCCGCCTGTAAAGTAGGCATCTGTTCGCCTGTTTAATGCAGTGGAACCGTGTGTCTTCTTTGTATGCAGAGGGGTGTTATACGTACAGCCCACTTTGTGGTACTCACAGTTAAATTCCATATGAGAAGGTAAACTCTGTTCGCCCTCTTTAATGAGGAAACAGTGTCGCCTTTTTACGGGCTGTGGGGGGTTGTACACAAGTTCTCGTCTGTTGACGGCCCTGATGCAGAGAGTACTATGGATTGGACATGCCGGCTCCATCCAGTTTTTCATGTGCAGATACTTGTATAAATTGATCAAAAGATTCGAAAATGATACCCGGGTCCTTCCCTGGGGCAGATTGGAGCAGTGTAACGTTTAAGTAAACGTATTTTATATTCAGTTGGGAAAGTTTGTGTCGTAGTTGTTATTATTGTCATGATGTTGATATTCAGGGTAACAAGATTCCATCCTCTATTAAATCTCAAGTACCCGCAAAAACGCATCCCGTTTCATTTGTTACTGTGAATGTAAGAAATTTTATCGAACGAAGGGCGATATAAATGGTTTACATTCATCAGTGACATCACGAGTTCGCGGCGGCTTCTCTTCTGTGATGACCCTTAGCGGCATCTTGATAGAAAACAATAACATGCCGACACCCTTTGAGTCAGCCGCGCGGCTTCTTTCATGTACGCGTATCTATAAAAGGAATGTGCGCAATGTATGTTTCGAATTTATATATGGAATTATTTTAGCCGGGATATATTGGTTCTCACGGTGTTGGCGTGAGAATCCTCATTCACCTTGCAGATTTTTTAGAGGATGGTCATAGACATTATTCGGTGGCAAATTAATTTACCCTCCACCAACCCCAACTTCATTTTCCTCCTTACGTTTTTCAAGTGTATTCGATAGTATGTTTTACTAAATATTATGTGGTCAGGAAGCGTGTCAAGTGATTAACATAACGGATTAATCATGTTTGTTTTTTCCCCTCAGTCAAGTAATCTTGATGTCGAAGCAATGCTTGGCAGGTTGGGGCTTTCCTGCATCACAATTAAAGGAGATTTTATATATAACAACGTTGTTGATATAGCCGAGTAACAATTTTGGTCTCAGCTCGTTATACCATATTTTGTCGTTGTTGTTAATTCGATTATATATATTGGCATTATTGTTTTGCAAGCAATACGATTTTGTAATAATGGTTTTGTTGGTCTAGGAGATAAGTTATGATTGACATGATATGTGTTTTGTCTCACAGATATAAATGCAATAATGCATGGAAATTGTTTTACATGCTTTAGGTCAAGCAATCGAATATATACGATACAGGGTAATCTCGATTAAAGGAGATTTCATATGTAACAATGTTGTTAATATAGCAGAATAACATTCCTGGTCCCAGCTCGTTATATTATATTTTGTTGTTACCTGTATTAGGTCCATGATTATATACAACGGCATTTCTGCTGTAGCATGGTAAATTTAACGGGACCAATTAAGAACCTCGTTATACCGATTTATCGCTGTATACAGTGGGTTTAACATTATTTAGTGAGTGTGTTCACGAATTAAAGGAGAATTGTATTCCCAAAGGACATGCAGGGTAATGCTATATCAAATTGAAAGTTTACTCGGATTTGGAGCAAATTGCTTGGTCGCACGAATATCTGCGGTTTTATAACGAATGGCTCCGCAGTCGTGGGCCGTGAGGGAATTTTGTCCCGGTCACGTTTCTCAGATCAGTGGTCTGAAGATCGGGTTTGTTTCGCCCTCACCTCATCCGAAAGGGGGTCACGGAGTGGCCTCGGGGGGGGGGGGGGGGGGATCTAAACACGCGAATTTTTGGAATTTGCATTGTGACATGCGGAAATTGGCATTTTTGCCTCTTCGCATATATATATATGTGTATGTGTATATAT